GCCGGTGAAGAACGTCAGGGACGCCGTCTACTTGGGTGGGATCGTGTCTTGCGATGGGCGGGCAAAGCATGAGTTATCCCGCCGCATTGGCGAAAGCACGAACACATTCAAGCAGCTACAGAAACTTTGGGCTCACGCAGCAATTGGTAAAAGCAGAAAGCTTGACATATATTCCAGTTGTGTGGTCAGCAAGCTTCTATACTCTTTAAATTCCTTGTGGCTTCTCAAGGCGGACAGAGATCGTTTAGACGCTTTTCATTGCAGGTGCTTACGACAAATCATGGGTATCCCGCATTCGTATTATTCGCGCATTTCTAACGCAACAGTGTTGGAGAGGGCAGGCTCCAAACCATTATCGCAGATATTACACGACAAGCAAGTCAGCCTGTACCGAAAAGTCGCAGCGCAGCCAGGCCATTCCCTGGTGAAGCAGCTCGTTTGCGAAGCAGACGGTACCCCAAAGGACTGGGCTCTTCGCCGGCGCAGAGGCCGCCCAAGACAGCAGTGGGCACACGAAGTGTACGCGATGAGGCTTCTTCACGCATGAAAGCAGGCCGTTGCGTCACACCATCGTTTTCGCAGCGCGTTTGGCGGACTGCTTCCGGGACGCGTTTGGCGTACCTCCATAATTTTTTAGTCATCTCTCTGCCTACGCGTCTTCATGATGCACGGCTTGCTTGCTTTGCTTTGCTTTGCTCGAGAGATCGTCGATGCGGCGGGTTCCCCCAGGGGGGTGAGGACCACGGCTCCCCCAGTTGTGGCTGGTCGGTCTCAAGCCTTGCTTGTCGGCACGTTTGTGCTCGTGGGGGGATGAAGGTGGATGGCATCTGGAGCTGGAGCGCTGTCTCTGAGTGGATAGTGGGCAGCCCGAAGCCGGAGCCCACTCCCTGATGGGGCCGCCGGATCATGTGATTGACCCGAGCGGGCCATCCAAAAATTGTAACTGCCCTCGTGTGCGGGCTCCTAAGGTATGACTGCGCAGGAAGCCTCGAGCGGGAGGTTCGTCCCTCGCGGGGGCAGGACGAGGAAACGGAGGAGGAGGAGGAAGAGGAGGAGGAGGAGGAGGAGGAGGAGGAGGAGGAGGATGAAACAGGAGGCGGAGAAGGAGGAGCACACCTGGGGGCCGAGAAGGCCCCAGAAGGCTCCAGGAGGCCCCAGGAGGCAACAGGGGGCCCCAGGAGGCCCCTGGAGGAGGCAGGAGGGGGCAAGACGAGGAACATGGAGGAGGAGGAAGAGGAGGAAGGGGACGAGGAGGAGGAGGAGGAGTAGGAGGAGAAGGGGGAGGAGGATATGGAGGAGGAGGAGGAGGTGGAGGAGGAGGAGGATAGAGGAGGAGGAGAATGCAGCCCTAGGAGGGGGCAGACCGAGAGAGGAATGGGAGGAGGAGAGCGAGGAAACATGAGGGGGAGGAGTGCCGCGGGAGGCCCCAGAACGGTCCAGGATGCGCCAGGAAGCCCCATGAGCAGGCAGGAAGCCCCTGGAGGAGGCAGGAGGGGGCAAGACGAGGCAGATGAAGGAGGAGGAAGAGGAAGAGGAGGAGGAGGAGGAGGAGGAGGAGGAGGAGAAGAAGAACAAGACGAACGATGAGAAAGACGAGGGGGAGTGATTGGGGATGAGATTATTGAATCTGCAAACCCGTGGGCGAAGAGAGTAAAAGCGGATATTCTAGACAGTCTGAGTGAAATGGATGATGAAGGAGGTGACGTTGGCAGTATGGCTCGTCTCGGGCTCCTTCAGATATTTCCTGATCCTGAGCTGGGGGTAGAGTTCGCGCAGATGGACTTCACGAGGCTCAGACAAGGAGCCTACTCGTCGGCAATCCCCCCACCAGGCTGGACCCCCTCAACAGTGCCTCGTGTGACCCCGATCTGCACGCCGTGCCGACAGCAGGAGCCTGACGAGTGGGTCTGTAGGTTCGAGATGGAGGAGGGGGAGACTTGCTTGAAGAAATTTCGATCCTGCATGTTGGTTGCACATCACAGACTCGCATATCATGGACTGCGTGACCCGTGGGTGTCCCTGGTCGTAACCAATGTGTGCCCGTACTGCGGAGGTGTATATGGGTCTACTGCAGCACTGCAGCAACATGTTGTAAAAAAGTGGATTGGGAGGTGGCGTATTTGTCAATCGATCCAGGTACATTGGAGGCCCCATGCATCCCGACCGTCGCCGATGCCATTTATGCTCGTTCGAACGGACACCTTTTCGGGACTGCAAGAACATCTACAGTCACACGCTCCGCCTGTTGACTCTCTGCGAGCTGCCGACGATGCCTTTCGAGCTGAAGGCCCAGCGTGGGGATTACGGCACGAAGGAATTGGAGAACCCGCCGCCCAAAGGCGCAAAAGGCAGGCCGCAGAGATCATAGACAGCAGCGAAGAACAGGTGGCACAGCTGGTGCTCATTCTCACGCGTCTCGCACTGTCCACCGCCGCAGAGCTAAGAGAAATGACAGGGGTCCTCTGGCGTACAATACTGCTCGTCAGCGCGCACCCGATATGCCTGGCAATGAAGACCGCAGGAATCGCGCATCACAAATAAGTGAAAATGCTGCAAGGAAAAGCGCAGGAGCTGGATATTCTTGGGGCACCATACGTCCACACGTGCACGGCGACTGTGCAGGGCATGGCGACAGGAGAGATCGGCGGCCAAGGAGTGTAGCAACAGGTGGAACAGTTCTGGGCTCCACACTTCGCAGGCAATTCAGCGCAGCAGCTACAGGAGGTGGTGCTTCACTGCCGAGCGAAGCCCGCAAAGAAGAAGGAGGGCCAGCCAGTGATGACCAGGGTCGCCTTCGCCCCCAGCCACGACCGCGACACCACGGAGAGGATGCCGGTGAATGCACTCAAGGCGAATCAAGGAGTAGTGAAGATGGGTCCCGCTCTTCGGGGACCGCGGGGGCGAGCAGCACAGAAGCTACTGGACGAGTACGAGAAGAAGTGACACGTCGACGGCTAAGTGCACACCAGAGACTGGTGCTGCGCACCCGCAGCGAGAGATTATTAGATCTTGTGGAGCAAGGCATCATGACGCTCGAGGCGGCTTCGAGGGTGGCGGCACAATCAAAAGTGATGGTACCTGTCCGCCGACGCGTTCGCACTCGTAAGAAGCAATTGTTTGAGGAGTGGCTCTCGATGTTGGTTCAGGCCGACGCCGCGGGAGACCTCACTCTCAATCTGCCGAGGCCAGGACACCGAAGTGGCCAGAACCGACGCCGCAGAGAAATGCATCATTGGGCGTACCTCTTTCGTTTAGTATGCGGCTGCGAAGTGGTTTGGTCAATTTCGTGGGCTGCAGTATGTGGGCCCCTCTCGTCGTCCCAGCGGATCTACGAAAGCGGTCTTCTGGCCACGACGGCGTCGTGAGCTTGGCCGCTGCGGGGGGGGGAACTATTTCAACTCAATCAATTTCGTGGGCTACAGTATTCGGGCTCCTCTCGTCGTCTCAGCGGAGATGTGAAAGCAGTCTTCTGGCCACGATGGTGTCGCGCGCTTGGCCGTTGCGAGAGGAGCCCAGCCTATTTCGTTTCATTCAATTTCGTGGGCTACAGTATTCGGGCCCCCCTCGCCGTCTCAGCGGATCTGCGAATGCAGTCTTCTGGCCACGACGGTGTCGCGCGCTTGGCCGCTGCGAGGGGGGGCACCAGTTTTCTGATGATGCATATCGCAGTTCCTTGTATATGATCCCGACCTTCACTCCCGACGGCCTGCACACCTAGGCGGGAGCGGCGCCAGAGAGAGAGAGAGAGATAGTGGAAAAGATTGCCGGTCGCCGGAATTCGAAATTCGTTTGGTTGTGTCAGGAGTTGTGGAATACCTCTCCCCCTCTCGCCTGCCTCCCCCCAGCGCCTGGTCTTTCCCTCCGCTGCGAACTGCTGGCCAGCTTGAATTGAATGCCCTCTCAGATCGGTGGTGCGTCGTGGCTCTCGGGTCCCCCATCAACGAGGCGCCACTGATCGCCCGTGGGCCCCCATCCCCGGCGTTCGGGGCGCTAGCGTTCCTCCTGTAGGCGTTCTCAGGGCGAAGTGGCACAAGCTGAAACTCATAGAGGTTTAGACCCCTGTCTTCTTTTTTTTCCCAGCTGTTCTGTGGACGCCCCCAGACACCCATTCCCATTCCCATGATGACGATGCTGGTGCTGATCATGATGATGATGCTGATGATGTTGCTGATGATGATGCGGGTGCTGATATTGATGGTACTTATTTTGACGCTGACGATGATGATGATGATGATGGTGATGATGATGATGATGATGGTGCTGGTGGTGTTGGTGCTGATGGGTATGATGATGATGATGATGATGGTGATGTATGATGATGCTGCTGATGATTACGATGATGATTGTGTTGGTGATGCCGATGCGGATGCCGGTGCTGATGCTGCTGATGAGGATGGGTATGGAGATGAGGATGATGATGACGATGATGACGACGACGATGATGATGAGTGGGAGGAGGAGGACGAGGAGGAGGAGTTGGAGGAGCAGGTCAAGGACGGGGAGGAGGAGGAGGAGGACGAGCAGGGGGAAGAAGAGGGGAGGAGGAGGAGGAGGAGGAGGAGCAGCAGCAGGAGAAGGAGGAAGAGGAGGAGGAGGGCGAGGAGGAAGAGGAGGAGAAGGAGGAGGAGGAGGAAAAGGAGGAGGAACAGGAGGAGGAAGCATCCCAATGAGGAGGAAGCAGTCCAAGGAGGAGGACGAACGCGGAGGAGGAGGAGGAGGAGGAGGAAAAGGAGTGCCGTGGGAGGCCCGAGAAGGCTCCAGGAGGCCCCAGGAGGCTCCAGGGGGGTTCACGATGCCCCAGGACACCCCAGGAGGATGCATGATGCCCAAGGAGAAGGCAGGAGGAGGCAGAAAGAGGAGGAAGAGGAGGAGGAAGCTGGAAATGGAGGAGATATGAGGATGAGGTTGGAGGAGCAGACAGAAGGTGAAGGAGGGCATCCCCAGGCAAGCTGAACGCATTCTCGTGCGGGGTCCCACCGTCGGAGTAATGTTTGAGAGTCTGATAGCCATGACATCACGCTCTATGGTGTTCAATCTAGCATCGTCAAAAGATGAGCATTGTGGTGAGCCGCCATTTATGTATTGAAAAGGAGCCGGTGCTCACCCATTCAACTATGGAGCATGCCCAGATGCCTTAGTTCAGGTAAGTGTCGCGCGATAGCTTCAAGTAAAGCATGAGCCGCCCTTGATCCGTGCAACTGGCGAGCATTGGAACAGTGTGCGGTATAGCTTCAAGCGGTAGCCCCATGTTAGAAAAGAGCCGCCCTCCATCCTTGCGACTGTTGCGCGAGTTTCATCTGCTCATAGCAGAGGTTTACGGCGAGAGCTTTGAAACGAAATCGGCATCCTTCTTTTATGGTTGTTGTCATACTCGAAGACGAGTCTGCGCGGCGACTGACCGAGACCAATGTTGTGACAACTACCTCATCTACACTTGGCAAGTCGCAAGTTGTTGAGTTACGCGTGCACGGTGCAAGGATGCGAGCGCCCTCAGCGCCAGGGCGAGGCACACATTCTGGAGTCCACCCGCCCTCCATCTGCGCAGCTGTTGCAGGCGTGCCAGGCGCATGTGCGCGGCTCTTGGGGCACAGCCCGGGACATATCAAGCAGTTCTCCGCATTGCGTGTGTTGGCTAACGCGCAGTCAGCTCAGCCAGCTCCCCTTCAGCCTGCGGCCCCACCGGCGGTAGGTTCTGACTGCGGGCTCGGCCGCTGTGCTCTTAGGCTTGCGCGTTGCTAATTTGACAGGCCCGTGGCCCGGACCTCTCAGTTCGGCGACTGCGAATCCGCGTCCGCCCGCGACCAAAGAAAAAGTATTGGCTAACGCAGGCCGGGCGGGACACCGCTTGCAGTCGATCGAAGATCCGAGTGGGCATTGGAGTGGTTCTGCTTGTCCCGATTCGCGTCCCGCGGATTACCTGAAGAGCTCGCTGCCTGGTTTTTGGCTTACCGCTTGCAACAGGTTGTCGCCAAAAATTGTTGAGGTTAAATCACGGTGTCAGACTCCCAAGGTGCATTGCAAGAGCTCCTCGCTGCTGCTGCGCAGTCGAGAGTGGAAGTACCCCCATCAGTCTGCGCGTGCCTTGGCACCAGCACCCGCTGCGGGCCTACATAATTGATTGTAAAAAGAGGGGGGGGGGGCACTTTTCGAAGACTATTCGCCCTCTATCCGTGTAAGTGCTGGAGGTTGGAAGTTGCCTGCCCACTGGGCCATCATGTGTGAGGAAGTGTATGGCCGATCTCCCAGCCCGCCCGCGTGGCACAACTCATGGCGCGACGAGGAGGAGTCGTCTTGAATAAAGAAGGTTGGAGAAGGAGGAGGGGGAGGAGGAGGAGGAGGAGGGGGAGGAGGAGAGCAAGAAGAGAGCAAGAGGAGCAGTATAAGATCGTCTCCAGGTGGTTCCCTGACCTTGGAGACAAGGCCGCGGAGGGGCTACACCCATGACCCTCCCCCTACTTATCATTGCCCCTCATTATCACTTTTTCCTCCCCCGTGCTCTCTTTCTCTTTTCAGTACCCAGCACCCGTCTGTCCTCATCATCCTCTGCCTCGGTCTTCTTATTATTGTGTTGCTTCTCCTCGTCCTCGTCTTCCCCCTAATCGTCCTCATGGTCCTCCGCCTCCTCGTTTCCTCCGTGCCGTCCTCGTCCTCCTCCTCTTGCCTCCCCCCGCTTCCCTTCCTAGTCCTCCTCCTCCTTGTCCTCCGCCGTGTCTTCCTGCCTCCTCCTCCCTTGTACACAATGGTTTGTGATTTGATGAGGGCTACGTGGGACCATGTGACACATGCAGGGCTGAATAATGTAACATGCAGACAATTATTTCGGACTCGAATGTATGTTTGGGCAGCTGGCCTCACTACCAGATGGAGCCTTGCATGCGGGAAACAAGATGAGGCCTGGCATGCCTGGTTCAACCACGGCACGTACATTGCATCGATTGGTTCACGAGCATGAGCGAGCGCATCGCCTACATCGACTTAGACAGCTATGCATGCTTTCCTGCGGGAGGCGAGAGTCGTGACAGCATGTGTTCCACATTCTGGTTGCCCTGGAATCGACGTCTCCCAGCTGCACGATATTGAATTCGTCGTCGACGCCACGATGAGGAAGATCATAACGACATTTACGCGGCGATTCGACCGTCGGCCATCGCAACCATTTGCCGTCGATCCATTGTACAAGCAGCGCTTGCAGCACACGCTCTGCGACCACGACAACACAGCCAGCACAGACGACAGGTGCACTCCCCTCAGCGAAGTTCTCGTCCACACCACACCTAGGAGGACTACCATGGCTGCCAGGACGCATCGCCGCGACGACGAGCACAAGGAGATTTCATCACAACGGACCAGCGTCTACGAGAGTTCATCGAAGAACTACGCTGCGCACAACCACGATTTCATTACCTGGAGGACACTGGGTAAGCTTGTCTCAAGACAACGTGGGCCCACCAAGCGACATCATCGACCCTCCGCGGGACTTTCAGCGGCACCACTCAAACCTCAAACATGGAGGGACCACCATCGACATAGTCAAATCAACCTCTCACCGCCGGAACAGTGGAAGAGATCGCCGATCATAGCGATAAAACATGTGTGTCGGCCCCTGGCTCGAGCAGCCTCGGTCTGGCCCCGCTTGTCCGCCCGAACGTGCTTGGGCTGTGGGTAGCCAGACCACTACACACAAGCATCTTGATGCCATGCCCGCGCGTCGCATTATGTCGTCAAGTCGGTGCGTCGTCGCGTTTTCCCGGTCGGAGAATCGGGCGGCCCAGACCTGCACCATCATGGCGGACCGACTGCCACCATCCCACCGATGTGCAGACGTACGTCCAGCGCCCCTCTGATCGTAGCTTGGAGACCGCGCCTGACGCACAGCACAGCCCTCGCCAAGCTGGTTTGCAGCGGCGCTTCAGCACAGCGGACCGCACGTTCACCACGGCAGCGTCGCACAACCACTCGCCCCGCTGGCAGCTACCACTCGGATACGCAGCAATCGACATCCAGAAGGTGTTCGACCGAGTCGACCACGAAGAGTTGTGGGATGCCTCACGGCGACAGCATACACCAGATGCACGCATTGCCTTCTTACAGCACGCGTGCGATGACCAAACAGCCGCCATCGAGAATGGGCACCAATTGCTTAATTTCTTGTCTACACCGAGGTGTGCAGAGGAATGTGTCGATCCGTATCTGTTTGCCCGACAAACGAACCTGGGTGGCCCCGCCGGAAGTTTGGCATCAATCACGGTCGCGCCGTGACCGGCACGTTACATCGCACAGTTTCGATTCGTAAGCGACGATCGGTTTTGCGGAGTGAGCCTTCGCTATTCAGTAGTTACAGCGTACCGCAAAACGTATGCAATTGTAGATCCCAATTCCATCTCGACAAGGCGAGTAGTTGCACGCACACCAGCAAGAGGATGGGCAGACCAACCGTACACATGCATTCTACATTGGACGATGCAATTACCGATACCTTGCTCGACGACCAGGGCACACAACAAACGTGGACTGCGCATTATCATCCCACTCTCTCAACTACCCCACGCTCCGAAGCAGGATGCGCCGCGGGATGGCTGACACCGACCAGGACAAGAAGCCCCAAGACAACGACCAATTCAGGGAACGACAGCAGCGATGCCGAAACCAGGAACACCGATTCCGAATCACGCAGCGCATGGCATCGGCAGCAGTGCCACTTTGGAAGCGTGGATGGATTCTATGCGCATGTGAAGCGATACAAGGAAGAAAACAAAACGGACACCTTGACATTCCGAAAGGGCAACCACTGTCCCGACTTATGGATCCATCTGCGTCGGCTTAGGACCCGCATTGCGCATGACACGCGACGAGCAGGACGACGGCTCGGATGGCAACGAACGAAACGCATGGGATGTTGGCATCGCTCTTGGATCGAAGAAAAGATGCTAGTCGATGGGTGGATGTGGCGTGGTACATCGAGTTGTGGAATTGTGTGGGATCATATAACGTACGGCGGCGGCATTGGATAAGGGACGGCTTTCTGGGGCCCAGACCCTGGCGCGTTCCTTCTAGTCTCAAGGCGAGGCGGGTGGCCCACGTTTGGCCGCCCCTCGGTCGCGAGGCCCTGGGTTGCTTATCGAAGGCATCCTTATCTAAACCCTCCACCGTAGGATGCGTTGCAGTGTCTTCCGCGCGCGCCCGCTGCTGCACCACACGGGCACCAGAGAGGTTCTCCCTTGGCCCCGGCCCGCCCGCGTGGCGCTCTGCCAGGGGCGGGCCCCTGCGGGACCGTCGGGGCGCGCCAGTCCCCGTGCTCGTTGCAGGGGAGGCCCATGCCAAGAATCGGCGGCGAGCGAGGGGGGGAGCCGAGAAGGGGCCGGCCTTCTCAGAAGGCCCGGAAGTCCCCCGGCCTTCTGAGAAGTTGTCTAAGCCTTCCCCGGAGGCACCGAAAAGTTCTCAGAAGGCGCGGGGCTCCTGAGACGTCTTGACGCCTTCTGAGGAGGCCGTCTCCTTCTCACTTCCCCCCCTCGATCGCCGCCAAAAGAAACACTCTGCGTGCCTCCAAGGTGACCTGGGCTTCTTGGCTTTCGACGACTCTGCGATGTAAGGCGTGACGTTCCCACGCCAAAAATTGACGCCCTTGTGGAAGGTGTCTTGTGGTCGGGCCCCTACTGCATCGCCCTCCCCCCACCCTTCTTCACCATGAACATTGTCATCATGAATTTTATTCCTCGCCCCTTCCCCCTTGGTCTCTCACGGTCCATCCTCCTTCTCCTCTTCCTCGGCTGCGTTCTCCTCCTCATCCTCCTTCTCCTGCTCCTCCTCCTCTCCCTCCTCCTCCTCCTCCTCCTCCTCCTTCCCCATGTCGCTCCTGATCCCCATCACTATTCTTCTTCATCCATCATACCCCGCCCTGCAACTCCTCCTCATCTTCCTCCTTTCCTTGTCCCTCCCCCTCCGCCCTGCAACTCCTCCTCCTCCTCCTCCTCTTCCTCCGTTCCCTGTCCCTCCTCCTCCTCCTCCTCCTCCTCCTCCTCCACGCCCACTGTCCCTCATTATCCCATGTACTCATGTACTCCTCCTTTCTCCCTGGCGTTGCTCCCCCACCCCTTCCTACCACCTCTCCTGCTCCCCGCCCATCTTTCTCCGCATCATCCCTCACAATCCCTCCTCTTCCTTTCTCTTCCCCCCTTTCCACGCCTCCTCCTCTTCCCCCTCCTCCTCCTCCTCCTCCTCCTCCGACCCGTCCTCCAGCCACGCTCCACCTCCTCCTTCCCATCCCTTTTCCCTTTGCGGGGAAGGTCTTGGAGAGGCTTCACAAGTGCTCGCCAGGCGACAGGCTCGTCTGGGTGGAGGCCGGCAGGGCGAATAGGAGGAGGATGGAGAGGAGAAGGTTGAGGAGGTTGTGTCTGCGGAGGATGCGGAGGAGGTGGAGGATGAGGTTCCCCCTGTTAATTCAAAGGCACCCTGCGATCCGGAGCATTCACTGTGGTTGGTGTGCAGCGCAACCTGAGGAGGAGGAGTAGGAGGAGGAGGAGGAGGAGGAGGAGAAACAATAACTAACAGGAAGAGGGAGAGAGCAAGGGTGTGTGGCGGAGGAGCAGGAGTACGTAGGAGAAAGAGGAGTAGGATGAAAAGGACAAGGACGAGGAGAGGGAGAACGAGGAGGTTGAGATTTGGTCAGGGGGAGGGCGGGAGGGAAAGGAGGATAGCGAGGGACGGATGAGGAGGAGGAGGATGCGGAGGAGGCTGAGGAGGAGGAAGGGTCGAGTGAGCCAAAGAGGGTGAGGGCAGTGAGGACGCGGGAGCTGAGTGTGAGGGGAGGCACGGCTGGATGGCTCCAGGCTGGCAGCGTCACGTCGGAGCATTCACTGTGGTTGGTGTGCAGCGCAACCTGAGGAGGAGTAGGAGGAAGAGGTGTAGGAGGAGGAGGAGGAGGAGGAGGAGGATAACCAAAAACTAACAGGAAGAGGGAGAGAGCAAGGGTGCGTGGCGGAGGAGCAGGAGTACGTAGGAGGAAGAGGAGAAGGAGGAGACGGACAAGGACGAGGAGAGGGAGGACGAAGAGGTTGAGGTTTGGTCAGGGGGAGGGCGGGAGGGAAAGGAGGATAGCGAGGGACGGATGAGGAGGAGGATGCGGAGGAGGCTGAGGAGGAGGAAGGGTCGAGGGAGCCAAAGAGGGTGAGGGCAGTGAGGACGCGGGAGCTGAGTGTGAGGGGAGGCACGGCTGGATGGCTCCAGGCTGGCAGCGTCACGTCGGAGCATTCATTGTGGCGGGTGTGCAGCGCAACCTGAGGAGGAGTAGGAGGAGGAGGTGTAGGAGGAGGAGGAGGAGGAGGAGGAGGAGGAGAAACAACAACTAACAGGAAGAGGGAGAGAGCAAGGGTGCGTGGCGGAGGACAAGGAGTACATAGGAGGAAGAGGAGGAGGAGGAGGAGACGGACAAGGACGAGGAGAGGGAGGACGAAGAGGTTGAGGTTTGGTCAGGGGGAGGGCGGGAGGGAAATGAGG